AGTGCCTTATTCCTAGATTACCCTTCATTATTTTAACACTGTCCCAGTGAATGCTTGCTTTTTGCATTCAGTCTGACCCAGGTAGCCATGAGACTCTTCTCCTTGGTGAACCTCTAAACTGTGGAAGTGTCATGTGTATCTAAGTACATGAACCACTCTCAGAATCTTAGAACACAGGCTGTAGAGCCTGGTCATCCTGGATAGCAAATGGCAAGATGAGTAAAACCATGTGGGGAGCAGCAATGCTCCTCAGTCCCTCTCCCCAGCTGGGTGGCTGGAAAAGTAGCTATGGGCTTCAAGGAAGGGGAGTGAACGTCATAAGCATGGACTCTCACTACCAGACCTTATCTTCATCTGATCTAATGGTGAGCCGCTGTAGTAAAGTTCTCTGCTGGTCTAGTTTTGGTTTAGAACTTTGCATGTTTAAAAATAATTAAAAGATAATTATTTTTAAAATGTTATTTTCAGTTCAGAGTGAATTATTCTTTATAAGCATAATTTTTACTTTTAAGCCAATGGTTTTGAAAGTCATTCATTCCTATAGGTCACCTTGGTGATGGTATATGAAATAATAATCAAAGCTAGGTTTTATGCAGGAAAAAGAATATCCTAATTGTCAGGAAAAAAATATGTAGGAAGAAAGAGGCAACTCCTAAAAATTGCCATTGTAAGTCTAAACCAGGAAACTAAAGGCAGATTTTTTTTAAAGTAGAAAATACAACCTTTATTTTAAGAACCTAAGTTTGGGGTGGGGATGGGGTTACTAAATGGGGTCAAGGTAGGCTGGGGGTCAACTCTGGAGGGGAGAATAAACTTTTATGAGTCACTTAAAAAATTCCTCATCACAGGCTGGGTGGTGGTGGCACCCACCTTTAATCCCAGCACTTGGGAGGCAGAGGCAGGTGGATCTCTGAGTTTGAGACAAGCTTGGTCTACAAGAGCTAGTTCCAGGACAGCCTTCAAAACCACAGAGAAACCCTGTCTGGAAAAAAAATTCCTCATCACACAGAGGCAGCTGACCCAAGCTAATGAGAGCTCATGGACTATGGACTGACAGCTAGGGAACCTGCATGGGACTGAACTAGACCCTCTGAATGTGGGTGACAACTTGTGGCTTGATCTGTTGGGGGGTGGGGGCCTGGTGGTGGCACTAGGACCTACCCCAGGTACATCAACTGGTTTTTTGGAGCCAATGCTCCTTATGGTGGGATACCTTACTCAGTCTTGATACGGGCCGAGGGGCTTGGTCCTGTCTCAACTTGGTATGCCAGACTTTGTTGACTCCCCAAAGAAGGCCTTACCCCTCTGAGGAGTGAATGGGAGGTGGGAAAGGGGGAGGTGGGGAGGCAGGAGGAGAGGGAGGAGGGACTGGGATTGGGATGTAAAATGAAAAATAACATTTTTAAATAAAAAATTAATACATAAATAAAGTTAAAAATAAATAAAATAACATAACAATAAAAATTTCCTCATTGTGATTTCAGGATATTTGAAAAGATGTTGGAACTGCAGGGAGCTCTTAAGTTTCATTGTATGTATGTGTTTACATATATCTGTATGTGCACATATAAGTGTGAGTGCGTATGCATATGTATGAATATGTGCACATATGCGTGGTACATATTTATATGAGTGTGTGCACACTTGTGTATGTACATAAATCTGTGTGAATACACATGTATGTACATATATGTGTGTGCTTGTGTATGTGTGTGACATATGTGCCATGGTGTGAGTGTGGAAGCCAGAGACCAACCTTGGATGTTGGGGCACCCTCACTTTGTTTGAAACGGGGTCTCCTGTTAGCCTTTGCATGTCAGGTGAGCTGGCCCACGGCTTCAAGGTAGTCTGCTGCCTCTACCTCCCATCTCACCATGGGAGCACTGGAATTGCAGGTGTGAGACACTGTGTTTGGCTTTAGTTGGGTCCTGGGATTTCAAACTCAGGCTGTTAGGCTTATGTGATGAACACTTTAACCACTGAAACGTCTCCCAGACCGCAATTCACTCTTTTCACAACCCGAGTACTAACTGATACTTTTAACATTTCCTCCTGTCCCTTACTGAATGGGTTGAAAGAGGAGCTGTACAATTATAGGGACACTTACTCTCCAGTGTTCCCCATTAGCCTTCCAGCCTATGAATCCTGAGTGCTGTGAAATAAATTGATTAAGCCATACTGGGAAGCAAAACTGAAGCTTCTAGGAACAGGCTGACTGTGACCCTTTTCTGAAGAGAAAATGGATTAATAAGACCCGACTCTCAGGGAATGTCTGAAAGACTTTCCAGAAATCTATAATGACTGATGTGACTCCCGTTGATACGTGTGTGAGGCTAGTCACAAATGTGTTTTTGTAATGCTATTTGAAACCCATATATGTGTGAGAAAATACACTTTAGAAGCAGCAGAATGATGGACAGAGAATTTTGAATATGGTTGTAGGAACAGCAGGGGTACAGGTTCGGGCACAAACACACACGGCTGTAATACAGAATTTCTCATCCTTGGTATTGACACTGAAGGGTGACTCCTGCTCTGAGGGTTAGTCTATGCTTTGTGGAACACTTAGCAATGGCCATACTGTCTCCATACTGAATGTTATTAGTATTCTCCTGGCAGATATTATAAGCCAGGAAATGTCTGCAGGCACTGAAATGTGTCTGCCAGAGACGTTTAATAAAAGAGAAATTATATTATTATATATTACTTGGCCTCCACATCCAATTCTGTTGGCTCTGGACAGAACTGTGAATCAGTCACTGTATTTCATGGCCTCACCTTCTCATGGGTTTCCCTAGTATAGTGATGGGGCCTCCTTTCTGCTCCCTCTCAGAATAGAACACATCCTGGCCATTGTAAACAGTACACTGCCCTGCTGCGGGAAAACTGTGTGTTGAAATTCTGACACTGAAGGTGATGAATTTAGAAGACAGCATTTTAAGCAACTCATTATATTATGAATCTGAAGCCATCTTGAATAAAATTAGTGACCCCAGACGGTGTTACATATCTGTAGTTTCCACACTTGGGGGAAGCTGAAGCAGGTAGATTGTGAGTTTGAGGCCAGCATAGGCTACATGCTGAGACCTTGTCAGACCAGACAGACAGACCTGAGAGCAGCAGCTCCTTGCCCCTCCTACAGTGTGAGGAAGAAGTAAGGACAGGAAGCAGACCCACCACTGATAATGAATCAACTGAAGGCTGGATCTCCAGCCATTCGGCCTCTGGAACTGTGAAAAAGAAAACTCGGGTGTTTATAACTGTCTAGTTTATAGTGCTATGTTGAGGCAGCCTGCATTTGCTGAAGACACATAAGCAAGCTTCAGCTGAGTCAGCCAACTCACATCTTTTATCTTGACATTGACTTAGAGCAGAATTCTGACATACATTGTTCAGTAAACTTGATAACATAATCCTTTTAGGAATCTGTAAGTATCTATAGAGGGGGTAGCCAGAAGTTCTCCTAGGACCCATGGGCTCCAAATGTAAATTACATAGACTTAATTGCAAGCTGAAGTAGCTGCAAGTAGCAAGATGTAGAAATGTTTAAGCAGTGTGGACTGGAAAATTCAAATGGGACGTCTCCAGGGTCCATGCGGACTGGGCGGCTTAGTGATCTGGGGCTGGAGCAGACCTAGCAAGAATACATGGGAACCTCCGAAGCTAAACAACAGTACACAGAAGATAACAACTGGCCCTCGGCCAATGTTCAAAGACTGTATGAGGGGCAGGCAATATCTCAGAGTTCCAAATGTTTCTAGCAAGGACAAGGAGGATTTGGCTGGAGCCAAAAATCTGGGCCAGGCCCCAAAGGCACATTCATTTTCTTACAAAACAAGGAAATGTCCTTTCTTCAGTACTGGCCATTTTATTGCTGTCAAAAAAAAAGTATGGCCAGTTAAAGTTGAATCATATCCCCTGAAAGATACCCTGAAGACTTTACCCCGTGCCGCAGAATGTCACCTTTGTTGAGATTAATGTCCTTGCATTGGAAAGGTCAAGGTCAGGGTGTTCCTGTGGGTGTGCCCTTCTGAAAACATCAGGAACTCATTGTTCCGGTAAACGTGTTTTTACAGACACCTGATTGTTTTGGTAAACATGTTTTCTACCAGTTCTAGCTGCCTGCTCCCAGGCTGATGGGGAAGTGGGCCTCTGGCAAAGGTCTCTTGTTCCTACATAAGTAAGTCTGCTCTTTTAAGAGAATTGACTTTGATACACTTAAACGGCCTTGCATCATAACAAACTAACCCTGTCAATGCATTTGGGATGGTAATACTTCAAGATATGACAATGGATTATACCACATTCTGATTAAAACAACTGGCCACATTCAACTCTTAGGGTGTTTTTGTTTGTTTGTTTGATTGATTGATTGATTGATTGATTGATTGATTGATTTATGTCAGTCTTAGTGACAGTTTACTGCTCTGGGCGGGTTTCATCTCATTAAGACCCAAATAATCATGGTTTGAATTAAGACCTATTAAATAAAGGGCCAAAAGAGGCTAAATCTAAATTGTGCCATGAATATGGTAAGTGGAGAAGTAAAGATGATGGAAAGTGGAAAAGAATGAAATAAGGCATGGGAAACATAAGCCAGTTGGTTTCCTACTGGGACAGGTGTAATGGTGAATGCAACATTCCTTTAAAAATTACAAAATTGTATTACCATGATTCCAAAACAATAAGAAAGGAGTGTGCACTATTCCTCCCTCACCATCCAGATAGCCAGAGGGCATGGGTTTTTGTGCTAATCTGGGTGACTTGAGAAGCTGTGGTCTTGTCACGATGAGCAGAGCCTCCTCTGCATAAGGGCAAATCAGTTTTCTTCTTTTAGAGTGGGGAACAAGGTAGCATGACGAGAGCATTATGCAAACCTGGCTTCCCCAAGTCTGCACTGTGGTCAGCACAGCCCTGGGTATCAGTGTTTGTAGATGCCTGATTGCCAGTGGTGCAGGGTCTGGGAGTGGAGGCTGACTGGTACCTGCTTGCCCTCCTAGGAGCTGAGGTGACATACATGAACATGACCGCCTACAACAAGGGCCGGCTACAGTCATCCTTCTGGATTGTGGACAAGCAGCATGTGTACATGGGCAGCGCGGGTTTGGACTGGCGATCCCTTGGGCAGGTAATCTTCCCACCATATCTAATCCAACATCTGTGGCCGTCAAAATGTCTGCCTCCAGACAGGACAAGAACACCTATGGCATTTTTTTTTTTAATTTGCAATGTCAAGGACTGACTTCTGCCTGTTCTCTACTGTCGAGACACATTCCCCAATTCAGGATATTCAGGTTGTAAAACCTGATTACATGGGAAATCCAAGACATAGTAAGGCTGATTACACTGCTTTCTTAATGACAGGTTAAACTTAAAAAAGCCAAGTACACAGTAGAATAGAGTTTTGCACACCAGTCTAAAGTGATATTGAGGCATTTTATAAATGTGCCAAAAATCGGACAAAAGCTCACTCTCCTCCAAGGCAAGAGGTGTTTTCACACCTCAACCACACCACAGCCAAGGTATTTTTACTAGCTTCAGTTTTAGAAGACAGTTACAATCAGTAACCTAAGCTGGACTGTTGTTGCTAATATGACGGTCTTGCATTCCAGCTATAGATGGGAACACTAAGAGAAACACCACAACTCCCTGGAGAGGAAGACACTATCAAAGAGAGCATTGCTTATTTTTATATCTCTTCAGGAAATTAAAAAGTGCTGTCTAAACGATTAAAAATAGTTCCAGGGAGGTTGGTGGGAACCGATTAAACCATATGATGCTCCCCATATGGGCTTTCTTATGGAAATATGTGTTCCTCTGCTAGCTGTAAATTTAATAGCAAGTTAAACTCCTTGTAGATCAGAGATGTGGGCCAAGATCGGAGGTTTTCCAAAAGGCTACCATTAAATGCCAGACACTGTGTCTGTGAATATTTTTAAAGATCTTACTTTTATTTTTAATTGTGTGTGAGAGAATGTGTGTGTGTGTGTGTATGTGTGAGTCAGTGTGGAGGTATCCAAATGAGTGCAGTTGTCCTGTTGTGCCCAAATTCTGAACCCCAAAAGCACCATGAGACCCATTTTGATGCAAAAATGCAAAAGCAAAGAGTCTTTTATTGTAGTTGTTTAAGGAGCTAACCCCATTAGCTTGGGCCTTTCATCCATTCACCACAGAGGATAGCTGAAGAAAGATCCCAAGAAACCATGGGGAGGCGGGGGATATATCAGATAGTGTAAGGGGAGTATCTAGGGGTATGCAACAGTCTCAGGATTGGTGCACTTCCAGGCTTGGATGACCTGTCCTGTGTTGATTGGTCAACTGGTTGTTATGGTCTATAGGCCCCCTCCCAGGATGGTTGCTATGCTCTACATGTCATTGATGTGCACTTACAGGTAAAGCACAGCCCCACCAGCTAACTTCTGATTGGTTCCTTGCCACGAGGGTATCTGACCTCCTAGAAGAAAGTAGGACAGGAGGGGCAAGAGGCAAGCGCATGTTAGCCTCTCATGGCTGCTAAAAAGGGGGCTGGCCCCTCCAGTCCTAAGGAACATTGAATACCCTAGAATGAGAGTTACAGACAGTTGTGAGCTACCAGATGTGGGTGCTGGGAGCCAAACTTGGGTCCTCTGTAAAAGCATTGTATGGTCTTAACCACTGAGCTCTAGTGGTTAAGTCTCTCTAGTCTCTGATTATTTCTTCATTTGTTATAACAATCTAATCTCTATCTTCCTTTATGGTAATCCCAGAAAAAAATTAAAACACAGAAATCCTGTTCCTGCCCTTTCCTCATTCAAAATAATAAAATCCACTCTAACCTAGTTGGGGTTGCCTCTCACAGTCTTAGATTTTTGTGCCCAAATTCTGAACTCCAAAATCATCAAGAGGCCCATTTAGATGCAAAAGCAAAGAGTCTTTTATTGTAGATGTTTAACGAGCTAACACCATTAGCTCGGGCCCTTTACCCCACCACTGTGGCGAATGGCTGGAGAAAGACCCCAAGCAACCTCGAGTCAGGTGAAAGACCCCAGGCCGGGGACTTTCACGGGAGGGAGACCCGAACCCAAGGAACAACGAGACCACGAGCTTGGATGCAACAGCAAGAGGCTTTATTTACACACGGGTACCCGGGCGTCTCAGTCTTGGGGGGCTGAGCGCGCCGAGCTGGGGACTCGGGGATTCTTTTATAGCAAAAAGCGCAGTACAGAAGCGAGAAGCCTAGTTACAGGACCCTGATTGGGCAATCTAAATGAGGCTGGGGCTCAGGACGAGGGCAATTGAGGTTTTGCTTGGAACTCAAGTCTCGGCCTTGGCCCTATCTGAGGAACAATAGGTCTCTGTGCTTGCCCAATCTTGCTGGGCTGGCTATGCAGACAGCAGACACCTGTGTCCCTGGGCAGAGTTCCCTTCTGATAGTAGTGACTATTCAGCCATTCAGCCCTGAGGACCTTGAGCTGAGCTCCCTTCTTTTTTTTTTTTTTTTTTTTTCTTGGTTTTTCGAGACAGGGTTTCTCTGTGGCTTTGGAGGCTGTCCTGGAACTCACTTGGTAGTCCAGGCTGGTCTCGAACTCACAGAGATCCGCCTGCCTCTGCCTCCCGAGTGCTGGGATTAAAGGCGTGCGCCACCAACGCCCGGCTGAGCTGAGCTCCCTTCTGATAAAAAAATGACTATTCAGCTGAGCTGTGCCTGTGTAGACTGGGCCAGGGTCTTTCACAGGGATCTTAAAGGGCAGTGTAAGGGGAGTGTCTAGGGGTATGAAACAGTCTCAGGATTGGTGGCCCACCCTGTGTTGATTGGTCAACTGGTTGTTATGGCCCATAGGCCCTCCCAGGGCAGTTGCTATGTTCTGCACGGCACTGTTGTACACTGTCTGTAAAGCACAGCCCCACCAGCTAACTTCTGATTGGCTCCTTGCCATGAGGAGGGCATCTGACCTTAGTGACCAGGACAGGAGCAGCAAGGTCATGTATGCACATGCTAGCCTGTCATGGCTGCTAAAACGGGGAGGCTGGCCACTACAAGATTAACAGTTACATCAGCCAAATCTGCATCTTTCATTTCATTCTTAGTGATTCGGAACATTCATATCAATCAACCCAAAATCACACTTTTTTTGTTGTTGTTGTTTTTTAGGGGTGGTGTTGTTTTTTATCTTATGGCTTGAAAACAAAACTCTTAAAAACTGAAACAAATGTTGCTCCTGTGCTCTTAGCCATCTCCCCAGTGTTCCACCTGGCACAAAGTGTGCTCTGTTGATGGAGGTGTAGAGGAAACACCATCCGGAAAGCAGGAGGGGTTTCAGGTTCTGTCACGTGAACCTTTGCTACCCAGTAGTTTTCCTGCCTCAGTTGCCACTCACTCAGGACTTCTCATTTACATCTAGTCTTTCCTCCTCTTCACCACACCTGAGCACAAATACTGCCTCCTGCCTGGCTCATCTTTCCAGCATCACTCTCGGTTTCCATGTCACGTTACTGTAGGTGAGGGGCCTAGTAACGGACCTCCGAAATGGCTGGTTCATGGTTGGGGGAAGGTTCTTATTGTGGATAAGAGAAAGAAAGTATCTAAAGGCATTTGGAAGAGTCCAGAGCAGAGAGAAAAAGAAGAGGACTGAACACGGCCAAGGTTGTCCGAGAAGGGAGAGTGTGGGGAGAATGGTGGTGAGAGCAGCAGGGACAGGAGTAAAAATCTTGCCCATAACGAGAGCAGGATCTGAGGCTAAAAGGGTGAGGAGGCTACTGTAGAGGCTTTGAAATGTGTAGCAGGTCCTTGGGAATAGGCTACTGTAGAGGCTTTGTAATGTGTAGCAGGTCCTTGGGAATAGGCTACTGTAGAGGCTTTGAAATGTGTAGCAGGTCCTTGGAAATAGGGACTGAGGAAGCCTGGAGGCAGGCGTGGGCTCCACTAACCTGATAGGTGCCACAGGTAAATGTCCAGGAAAGCCATTGTGTATCTTTCTAGCAGGGAAATGATGCCTTTTGGCAGAGGGGAACCTGTTTCACAAGTTCCTGAGGAACCTTGGCTTTTATCTAACAGTCAGAAATCTTTGTATAGCCCAGCTTGAATTGACCGTAGGCTGTCATTTCTGGACATATGTTCTTCCTAAAATCTAACAGTTACTCTACACTATGTCATCTTCAATGAGTGTTCCTCTCAACCGTAATACATCTTCAGAGAGTCGAGTTCATAATCATCATCTTAAATCTGTGCCAAGTAAAAGAAATAATAGAGATGATCTCCCAACTACCATGCATTGTGGCCTTTCTCTGTCTGGCTTCTAAGCACATGAAGAACAAGAGCTCCTTCCATTTTCACCAGTCTCTTGCTTGTAATTAATTCGGCCATCAACCTCATTCTACAAAGGAAGAGAGGCCATGTCAGCTTGGGGTCATGTGATCTTCCAGGAAATAGTGAAGATAAAATCCAAGCCTGTGCCCTTTAATACTCAACTTTTCGCTTTTATTTGACCTTGCCCACCACTAATTTTTAAAGATAAGCTAAACTTAATTTTAAAAAAAAGATCATTCTCACATTACTTTGTTGGGGTGAGAAAAGTCAACAACACAATTCTTTCAAAAGTCCCATTCACTTCCATGCTGCACAAGCCCTTGGTGATGCAGTGGCCATGCAGTAGCCATGCCTGAAGCTCTGGGAGCTCCCTCCATCTCTGGGTTGAATTTCAAAGACCAGGAAGCCCTGTGTGTGTGTGTGTGTGTGTGTGTGTGTGTGTGTGTGTGTGTGTGTGTGTGTGTGTCTGTGTGTGTGTCTGTGTGTGTGTCTGTGTGTGTGTCTGTGTGTGTGTGTGTTGACTTCTTTCTGTATTCCTCACCTATTGTTCCTTCAAGGACTGCCTTAGAATTCCTGCCCACATGGAGTCCCGTGGGAAGAAAGAGAACACCTCTCCATAGGTCCCACTTCCTGAGCACCTCAGAACCCCAGGGAGGGAAGGAAAACTGCAGCAGGAACAAAGGGAACAAAGGCCAGCCAGTGAGAGAAGCTGAAAGGAAAGTTCACAGCAGTCTCAAATGCTTTGGGGGCGTGAAGTGAAATGGGAGAAGCTGGGGAGGGAAATATGAAAATCAGGCTTTTAGAAAAGTTACATTTATAATCTTTGAACAAGCCTTCTTAGC